TATATATTAAAATATATGCACACTCACTCACTTACCGGTCACTTTATTAGGTACACCTGACCAACTGCTCGTTAACGAAAATTTCAAAACAGCCAATCAGATGGCAGCAACTCAATGCATGCCTTTAGACATGTAGACATGGTCAAGAAGATCTCCTGCAGTTCAAAGCGAGCATCAGAATAGGGAATAAAGGTGATTCAATTGACTTTGAACGTGGTATGGTTGTTAGTGCCAGAGAGCTGGTGTAAGTATTTCAGAAACTGCTGATCTACTGGGATTTTCATGCACAACCATCTCTAGGGTTTACAGAGAATGGTTCGAAAAAGTGAAAATATCCAGTGAGTGGCAGTTCTGTGGGTGCAAATGCCTTGTTGATGCCAGAGGGGTTAGGCTCGGTGGTTGAGGTGTCTGAATAACACTGTTGAATGCCGGGTATTTAAATTACAGGGGTTTTCTATGAGAAATAACAAAATGGGAGGGTGGCGGGAAATGGTTATAAAATATGGGAGACTCCCAGGAAAAACAGGAGTGTTGGCAGGTATGATTGTTCCTGACTATGTTTATTTATTGATGAGCACAGTCTTCCCATCTTCTGATGGCTACTTCCAGCAGGATAATGTGCTTTGTCATAAAGCGTGAATCATCTCAGGCTGGTTTCTTGAACATGACATTGAGTTCACTGTACTCAAATGGCCTCCACAGTCACTAGATCATAATCCAATAGAGCACCTATTGGGTGTGGTGAAATAATGCTGTGACATTTTTAATGAGAAAGCTTTAATGAGGAAAAGATCTACAATTCTAATAAAATATTAAATTAAAACAGTGGTGAAATGTAAATTGTGTGTGTGCGTGTGTGTGTGCGTGTATACACACACATTCACACCACACAGTCGGAAGTCAGAAATATTAGCCCCCTGAATTATTAGCAGCTCTGTTTATTTATTTTTTTCCTCAATTTCTGTTTAACGTAGGGAAGATTTTTTTTTCACCACATTTCTAAACAAAATAGTTTTAATAACTATTTCTAATAACTGATTTATTTTATCTTTGCCATGATGACATTAAATAATATTTGACTGGATATTTTTCAAGACACTTCTATACAGCTTAAAGTGACATTTAAAGGCTTAACTAGGTTAATTAGGGTAACTAGGCAGGTTAGGGTAATTAGGCAAGTTATTGTATAATGATGGTTTGTTCTGTAGACTATCGAATAATATATAGCAGAAATGGGCTAATAATTTCGTCCTTAAAATGGCTTTTAAAATATTTAAAACTGCTTTTACTCTAGCCAAAATAAAACAAATAAGACTTTCTCCAGAAGAAAAAATATTATCAGACATACTGTGAAAATTTCCTTGCTCTGTTAAACATAATTTGGGAAATATAAAAAAAAAGAAAAAAGAAAAAAGAAAAATAAATCAAAGGGGGGCTACTAATTCTGACTTCAACTGTTTGTGTGTGTGTGTGTGTGTGTGTGTGTGTGTGTGTGTGTGTGTGTGTGTGTGTGTGTGTGTGTGTGTGTGTGTGTGTGTGTGTGTGTGTGTGTGTGTGTGTGTGTGTGTGTGTGTGTGTGTGTGTGTGTGTGTGTGTGTGTGTGTGTGTGTGTAGGTAAAAATACAAACATAAAAATAAAACAAAACCAAAAAAATGTGTAATAAAGGAGCTTTAAGGCGCTTTACATAAAAGCAGCTTAACATACATTTGCAGCTCAAAGACGCCTCTCATATGGAGAATGAAGTCACATGCATTGCTCAGCTGTGAGGTCTTCACAGACTTTAACAGAGTGTAAAAATTTTTATGGTCCTGAGGGTCTCGTCTGTCAAATCTGAGCTTTTATTTGTATTTTCTATTGGATTCAAGTCAGGTGATTGGTTTGTCCATTCTACAGCTTGAATTTCTTTCTCTGAAAGCATTTAAGAGTCTCCTTGGCTGTGTTTTGGATCATTGTCTTGCTAAAATGTCCGCCCTGATTTCATCTTCATCCTCCTCCTAATGTAGATGTTAGACTGAAACAGCTGATATTCAGTTACACTAGGAAGAGCAGAGGGTTGCTGAAGAACTAGTGAAGAGAGATTTCAGCTGCTGCCTGGGCTTTCACTGCCTTTCTACACCTCCCTTTCTTCATGTGTTCAATACTTTTTCTCTCTGTCATTTAATAATACACATTTTTACTACACATAACTTTATTTGTAAACTAATTAATATTGTTTTACTTTGCATAACTGGATTCCTTTGGTTGCTACCAAGCGGCAACCTCCCGCTCTCCCTCAGGAAACCAATACGGAAGTAACTAAAACTGCAATTCATCCGAAATTCCGCTAGTCGTGGCCTCTCCTGGCTCCAAAACAGAGCAAATTTCAATTGAGCCCACTGTTAGAATGGCCAACTTTACAGCAGAAAAAAAGGTGTTTACAGCCTGGTACAAAAAAAGATTTTGGTTAATACAGCTAATATCACCCTTCATGACAACTGTGAGGGGGGTGAATTTTTTTATAACTCCTCCGTTTCCTTTATTTAAGTTATATTAAGTTTGCATAATTAAGGGCGTGGCCACTTGAGTGACAGCTAGGTCTCGTTGGTCGCTGTCACATCACTTCAGCTGAATCCTGCTGAATCCTGATTAGCCACTGAACTCGGCATATTTATCGTATTTCTGTGATGTTTTATGTTGCTTTATACAGTCAACTGCCTTTTGGACTTGTTTCCTACAATTATTGGATGGCATGGTATGCTGAGTGCACTTAATTGAGCTCACAAACCATTCACGTGGCCTCCGTTTCCCATGTGAGTAAAGTTATATACTTATATACCATCTCTATACATGTATTTGTTTTATTTAAGATCATTTATCGTTTAAATTTATATTTAGAGCTGTAATGCACTTCAGAATCTGTCAGATTGATTAGCTGTAGGCTCTAGAACAGTCATCTGAAGCGTTGTCATACAGTGTTATGCTGGATTTCATCAATAGTCTTACATTAACTAACACAGACTATATCTGAAGTGTTTGGAAGTAATTCGCGTTTTCCTCCTGTTGAAAAACGTCATAAGAACAATGTTTAGTGGCTCAAAACACTTTATTGATATAGTATACAACCAAGCACAAGTGGTCGGAATACAAACGAGTCACAGGTGATAAAGTATTAAGCGTTCTCCCAAAGCAAAGTGTGTCTGAACCAGGTCCAAGCTAAATGCTAGCAGGTGTCTGTAGCTCCGCTCACTCTCCGCCTCTTTGCCCTTGTTTGGTATCCCGCCGTGGGTGTGATGACGCGCGAACAAAATGGCGACGGTTGGCCGCGCCAACTTGTGGCTTCTTTTGCGCTCTTTAGAAACCTATGGGTGACGTCACGGATACTACGTCCATATATTTTACAGTCTATGGTTGTTACCAACATCTGGGGAAAATTTCAAGTCAACGGCACTTTTGGAAATATGTTTTACAAGAAAGAGTTCATTACTTACTGTGCATGGACGGACTGCACTTTTATTGATATCATCAAATGCATGTTATTTGTCTCTTCGCAGCTCCTCTATGGCCTCCGCAAGTGTCTGCTACGGTCAGTCAGGCTGGCCTGTTGGCAAACACGTTCACCCTGCCGCAGCCTCCGGTGTACAGCCAGTGCGCCACCATCCAAACGCCCATCATCGGTGTGACCCCGGCACTGCAGACTCCTCACCCGCAGTTACCCGCTCACTTCCAGCTCCCGCAGCAGCCTTCACAGCCCATGTCCAGCATGGTGCTCAACGTCCAGAGCCAAACGCTTGCGGTCGGCGGGCTTCCACCGATGCCCAGCGTCTGCCAGGTGGCGCATCCCGTTGGTAACGGTCACCTGACCCATCCCATGGTGCAATCCGCCGCCCTGACCTGCTCCACGCTGCCCACAAATGGACCTTTAGCAAACGGCCTGCAGGAAACGTGCAGTAACGGCCTGCAGATGCTGAAAACGGTCGGGTTGGGGAAATACGAATTTACAGACCCCTGCCATCCCAAAGGTAAACTGCATTTTTTTTTTTGGTACAACATGATGTTCATAATATTTTCATAATATTTTCACAGGAAATTGAATTTTGGGATATTTTACAGTATTTTTAATACATGAAACAAGACGCATCCAACATGTGAGTGAATACTGTATTCCTGGACTTAATATTAGCACTGTTATGTTTAGTGACAGTATAAAAAAAACATGCAGCTGATATTTACCGTCTATACCAGTGGTCACTAATGGCCCAATTGCAGTACAGTATGATATGGTACGGTTCGGTACGGATCACCTTTATCAGGTTTGCATTTCCACTGCCAAAAGAGTATGAATGTTTGGTCCCACTTTATATTGTGGCCTTAACTAATATGTACTTACACAGGAATTAATAGTTTGTTACAATGTACTTATTGTGTAAATACATGTATTTTTTGTGTACTTATGCTTGATTAAATACATGTATTTACATCTGTAACTAACTTTTGTAATCACATTTGTGAATACACTGTTGACCATCCCTTACACCTTAACCCACCCTTAAACCTACCCAAACCACCAAACCTGTCCATAACCCAACCTCTATTCCAACTCAAAAGCACCACAAGTGTCCTCAAATACATTATAAACATAGTAAGTACATTGTATTTATTTTTTGATGTAAGTTCATAGTAGTTAAGGACACTTAATATAAAGTGGGACCGAATGTTTTGTGGTGTACGGCAGAAAGTTTCAGTCGACGTCATTCTCTCTCAAGGAAATGTCAAAGTAAAGCTGTACGGGTCGTTCACATGTCATATGAGAAGCACTTCTCACAAAACAGATGCTTTATAGCAGTTGTGGGCAAACTGTTTAGACCTGAGGGCCACATCAAGTTTTGCAAACCAAGTGAAGGGCCACATGTCAAATCCTTCAAAAAAATGACTTTTATTTATAGTGGCAGTATGCATGGAACATGTAATATCGGACAGAAACATGTCACATTAACACAAAACAGAATTTTTTAATAGTTATTATTGAGTCAAATTTACACCTCAAATGAATTTGCACTGCTATTTATTATTATATTTATTATTTACTTTTCAATCATCAAAAAACAATAAAATAACCCCTTATAAAATATATAATAATAATTTATTATTAAATAATTAGTAATATAAATATAATTATTATTTAATAAATAATAATAATAATAATAATATTATTATTATTAATAATAATAATAATAATAACAATAATAACAATAACAATAACAATAATACTATTATTATTATTAATAATGATAATAATAATAATAATAATAATAATAATAATAATAATAATAATAATAATTTAATCATTTTACAGTGGAGAATAGAAAAGATATTGTCTGATAGACAAACATCTCATATTAACACATTAAAAATAATTCTTAAAGTTTACTATTCAGTCAAATTTACAATAATCTAATGTGCACTGCTTTTAGAATATGCAGATCAATCATCATAAAACTGATGAAACCACAAATCTTTGATAGAAGAACTTTTTAAAGTGGATGCATGCATGGAAAATATATAATATGACAATAATTAACACATTTAACCAGCAATTATCATTGAGTCCAATTCGCAACAATCTCATTTGAGCTTTTATTAATATGCTCATATCAATCATTCTAAAACTATGGGATAAAATGGAAGAGTCTTAGTCTTTGTTATTCCAAGTCGGGTTATTATGAGTGTGTTAATGTGAACAATGAGCCTGAAAAGAAAATGTTATTAATATCAACAACAACACTCTCGCAGAATACCTTGCTGATTCAGTCGTTGCCTTAAAAAAAAGCGCACCGTTCTGACATGCAGCTTACATTTACCATTTACACCAGTGGTCACTAACAGGCAGACCGCAGTCTGGGTCTGGACCCAAAAGCTGTCCTATACGAACCCAGACCTGCAGCCTTTAGCCTGTGCCGGTCCTGTTTCTCCTGGGTTTTTATTCTCAGCCAATTGCACCTGCTATTTATTCACTCTTTGTTTACCCGCTTTCTGCTTAGAAAAGTTTTGTTCCTAATCTGACTGTTCCCGCTGAATTAAGACGAGCGAGAAGAGCCGAACGGTCTTTCTTTGTTTAATCTTTATGTTCTGTGCAGTTTCATTTTCCACAGTTATGATGATAATGGAGCTCTCTGGAATAAATGGTCGTAAAAATACATTGTTACCTTGGTAACTCAAGCATAATGTAAACTGGAAATCAATACACTAAAAGTCATTCATTATTTATTATTGGTTGGTTGAGACTGTTGAGTCGAGATGTAAAATAGAAAAGGGGAAATGTAAGTTTTTTCTTCTTTTTTATTTTTATTTTTTAAAGCATTTTACAGTCATATGTGTTCATAAATTGTGAAAAAGTACTTAATTTGATTCCACAAGTTGCCTTTATTGTTACATGCAGATGTAAAACATGCTGAAATGTAATACTATATATATATATATATATATTAGTGCTGTCAATCGATTAAAAAAAATTAACTAATTAATCGCACCTTTTTTAAAAATTAATCGCGATTAATCGCATTTAAAATACTGAAATGTTATTTTAAATGTAAAATTAATGTAAACGCAAGACAAAAACTATTTAAATTCAAAATATTAGTGTTTAATAGAATTTTTGTTGAACTTGTAACACAGATTTCTTCATGTAAACAACATACCCACAATAAACCATCAAGATCCTGGCTTGACAGCCATATTTATTACAGAAATTAAAACACAGGCATGTTAATGACATTTAAATTTCAAAACAATCAATGCCAATAAAGAAAACATTGATCTCCATGTTGGATTCTAAGTGGACTGCAAAAAAATGCCAAAATACAGGCATTGCAGATATGGAAAATGAAAAATTATTATAAAAAACTATAGAATACAAACAGTTGCACTCATTGTAAAGTTTTATTGCTGTGAGTTGAGAACATTAGTTATAGAGTAGAAACAATTTTGCTTAATCCTCCTTTACATTCATCCAGTTCCTAAGACTAGGAGTATCCAGCAAGTGCACAGAGACTCCCAAATGCCCGCAAATGAATGATAATTTCTTGCAAACCGGTCGTTACATTGCACACCCCTCTCACCCCTACTCAGATACGTCGCTCACTCCACCCCTGATACAGACACACACACAGACACACACACAGACACACACACAGACACGCACACAACGCGCTGCAGACGTTTTGGCCCCAATGGCCTTCCATACTGGAGCGACTCCCCTCAGATTCAACACGCATGATCACGTTCATCAAATTTGCTTAAACTAAGCGTCCTAAAGTATTACTGTATTTCACAAGGATTCTGACACAACAACGCGAAGCATACGCTTTCGTTGCGTTTAATGAGGAAACACGCTAAACTTGGAGGGCTCATCCTGAAAGGCAGAGTAATGCCCTGTCTTTGACAGCTCGCGTCTTCACCAGAGACTTTCTGAGTACATTCACATAAGACACCAATACTCCGATTTTAATATGATTAAGATTATACTCTTATTTTAAATTCTACCGTGTAGCCTTAAAAGGAACCTTACGTTAAAGGAACACCGAGTCATGAAATGCGGAGGATTTTCTTTCTGTTCACCATGCGGTATCAACTTACAACAGATGTCGAAAGTTAAAAATGAAACACCCGAAATTGCATGAAACTTCGGAGAGCCTGGTTATGCAACTAATTGTTTTATACTGAAACTTGCCTTCAAAAAGTGCTTCCTTGGTCTTATCCACATTTATTGCATGTTGAACACACGTCCACCACAACAGGAAGTAAAAAAAAAACCTGCAACTGCGTTAATTGCATTTTTTTTTTACGCGTTAATTATTTAAAATTAATTGCATGCGTTAACGCGTTAATTTTGACAGCGCTAATATATGTATATATATATATATATATATATATATATATATATATATATATATATATATATATATATATATATATATATATATATATATATATATATATATATATATATATATATATATATAAAAAAATAAAAAAAAAAAAAAAAAATAAAAAAAAAAATAAATAAAAAAA